AAAGAATTTTTAACAAATTTGTTAAATATTTATATAATTAATTAATAGTAACGTTAGATCCTGCTAAATAATACGCAATTAATATTCAAAAATTATCCTGAGAATATTCTCCAATTCGAATTAACCTAACAAACATTTGTCAGTATATACTATACTAATAAATTAGTATTAACAAATTCGAATTCGATTTAAAGAGAATTTATGTGCCATTAATTTTGCAACAGCGATCGATTCGCGAATATTAAACGAATATTAAACAAATTCGCAATTAGTATGTACTTGACATTTATAGTTCTAATTATAAGCGTAGTGTAAGTACCTTGAGTGCTCGCTGTTATACGAGCACTTGTGAATTGATAAAAAGTGAAATCGTAAGTTTTGATATCAGATTAGGACTCGGAATGTACTTGACACTAAAAATCGAAGTAAAAAGATCCTGGATTTTCGAGTGACCCAACGGTGAACCTTGAGTTCGGGAACTAATCGATTTCTTTCGAATAATTTAATCGTTGAATTTCATTAGAAGCGAGGAATATTCGACACGGACATTTTTATGTATAATTTAAGATCGAGTTTTGATTGAATAATTAATTTTCAATGTAAGAATTTCATCTTTCTTTTTCCTTTTCTTTCCTTTTCCTTTTTTCCCTCTTCTCTGGAAAGTAGATACGAGAGTTAATGTTATATTGCATAAGAGATTTATACTCTGACAGATTAGATAGATCCCCGTGTGGTGTTCTTATCGATATTTAGAAAATGAGTTATACAACCGCGATTTTAAATATCTTAATCCAGTTTTGTGACAGTGGAGGATTAATTGCGTTTGGAATGCGACGATTTTTGGCAACGATTTCTAATTTAATGGGGTTGCGTCACTGGATTAGAAAGCATGGGAATCCCTACCTGTACGGATTAATAACCTTCCACCTAATCGATTTCTTTGTAAAATTGAAATCGCGAAATCAATTCCATTTCGTGGGCGAAAAGATTCAAGTCTACTTTAGGGAAAAAATTGCAATTGTATTATTTAATTAACTAGAAAATAATAATAATGGGTTGGAGTCTAAAAATGGAAAGAAATTTTAATTTAAAATTGAAATCATATCAATCGTTTGGAAATTCATTATGAAGTATGTATAAGTAATTGTGTTAAGAAGATTAACACTTCTTGTAACATAAGAGTTATCAAGAGTATGGAGAATAAAAGGAAGCAAGACAAAATTTGATCAGGTACTCGTTTACTATAATTATAGTATGGAATTCAGACTACTGGTGGGAAAATAGTATATGTAGTATATATAGCATAAATATAGTATAAATATTTTTACAGGATCTAAATGATAATGCAATCCTAATGAACTTTAATGCAATTAAAATCAATTTCCCTTTTAATTTTTAGGCAACTAAGTTGCACGTTCCTTATTTTATTTTAATCACTATACAACAAATTTTAGGATAATCCCATAATCCTACTATAGGACTACATATTACAATAATATATTTCTCCTCTTATTCATCATCCAGTGATTGAAAAATGAAACAATGTAACCTCAAACATAATTCCTCGCTACTCAACATGCCTCAAACGAAAATGAAACCATAACTACAATGTTTCACTTCCCAATATTAAAAATAAAACACGAATAGACCACAGAACTAAAAAACAAAAAGATACCTAAAAAAGAAGACTACCACCATCGATCCCCAATTATCAATTTTCACATCAATTTCCTACACACAACCAGCACCTAAACCCAAATCACCATTCGAGCATCCAAAAGACTAAGGATTACCGTTACAAGAATTAATCACTCATCTAAAAAACAAGAAATATCTGAAAAAAATAAAGGCCATCACCATCGATCCTCAATTATCAATTTCACATAAATTTCCTGCATATAAGCAGAACCTATACCCAAGTGACCGTTCAAGCAACCAAAGGACCAATGATTACCGTTACAAGAATTAACCATGCATGTAAAAAGCGAGAAATATCTGGAAAAAGTGAAGGCCATCGATCCTCGATTATCAATTTTCACATTAATTTCCTACCCAAACCCAAAGCCAAAAGACAAAGATTACCGTTATAATAATTAATGACATACATAAAAAACTAGAAATATGTGAAAAAAATAAAGACCATCAATTTTCAATTATCAATTTTCACATTAATTTTCTATTCAAACCTAACCTCAAAAGATAAACGATTATCGTTACAAAAATTAACCATACATCTAAAAATCAACAAATATCTGAAAAGAATAAAGGCCATCATCATCCTCCATCCTCGATTATCAATTTTCACATTAATATCCTACCGAAACCTGAACCCAAAAGAGACAAACGACTGCCGTTACAAGAACCAATCACACTAGCAAAAAGAAGGAAAAAATTAAGTTAAAATGAAAGAAGAAAATGGTACTTTGTAACCGGACAAAGTCGCCGAAAGGACCACGGATACTTCCATTGGAAGCACGCTCAGGAAAGTAGCCATTTAAACGTATCCACGGGCCTGGCAGACTACATTGTCAGCGGGCAGGAGTCACGTTGAAAGGAAAAATGAACGTGGAATCGCGCAATTCGATCCGGAAGCGGGGAATTCATTACCATGGCCGTCGAAGGAAGTCAGACGCGAAAGGGGATTACACGACAAGAATCCGAGGCGGGATCTGTCTCCGTTTTCGTTCCTGCGATACCTTTTGCTTTCGCTCGAAACTCGGGTATTTAATCTACGACGAAATCGTGGGAGAAATTACGTATTGTACATATGTACTAAGAGTTCCAATAGAATCGCGTAATTAAATAAATTTTAAAAATCAATTGTACGATTGTGACACAAAAATTATTTCTGAACGAGCCATGGGGCTCACTCCTTCGATATTCGAGAAATTTCTATTCCATTGCTTGGGAAATTGACAACGACAATTTTTAAATCTGACGTTCTCTTTGAGAAATAAAAGAAGATAGTTTACGCCATGTTTTGAAAGAATGAAAACAAATCGCCAAGATTAGGTTAGGTTAGAAAGTCGATAAACTGTAAAATTACCTTATTATTTCTACTTTTTCAATTTATTGTCTAACCTAACCTAATTCTTGTTTAAGAATTTTTCAACTTATTCAACAGACTTCACTTTTCAATTCGATCGATTTAAACAAATTCATTACTTAACCTAACCTAATTCCAGTTTAAGATTTTGTTGACTTATTTAACGAACTAAAGTCAGATAACCAAGATTGGAAAGTGTCATTAAACAACAGAATTACCTTTTTACTATTTTTAGTTTCCTGATTGTCAATTTAAAAAAGTTCCTCACCTAACCTAACTTTTTCTACACAAACATTGGCATATTTTACGGTGTTTACCATTCAACATAATGGAAGCTAATGTTCCAGTATTATGATATAATTATCCACGAATACTACAAGGAATAACACCTGCAAAGGAAAAGAATTTATAAGAAAAAGTATCCTTTTTATGACCAAAATATGTCACCACGCGTCAGACTAGGAGCAAGCTCAAAGAAAACCGAAAATATCTCTTTTATCGGTTACGTCTCCCTAAGCGGGCTGAAACATCAGTTTGAAACTTCAAACGACGCCGTCGATCCGTTACAAAGTATTAATTACGAAGTTTGCCGATCGGTAGGCAGTTGGCAAGGCTCGGTGACGCAACGCGGAGCTCGCGCGGATCCCACTGACATGATTCGCCTCGTCAATGACGGCGAAAACGCCGCGAGCGCGCCGCCAGCAAAAGCCGTTGCGTACCTACGCAACAAGCGTGTTTTTTAAATTTTAAAGGGACCCCGGACGCGTGTTCGACGTCACCAGACGCCTCTCTCACGCTCGGCGGCCAAAAATAAGCCAACGTTCCGTTGCGCGACTCTCCACGGGTCACCCGAAGCAGAGAAACCGATAGACGAATCTGCCTGATACCTCCGACGCCAGCGACAACCGGGATTCGACGAATCCCGCGTCACGCGATCTCTGCCAGACGAAAAACCCAACCACTCCGCGCAACGGCCTGCTAATGTCCCCGATGACAGACAGAATATACTCTCCACGTCGCCTCGCGGTGACACTTGTTAAGTATTCACAGATGGAACCTCGAAACGAGAGCGATCGGTTTACTCTTACGCCAGGAATAATATAATAACGTCTCGTTACGAGTGCTCGCTCGAGGTATTACTGTTGATAAATAGTTGCATGGAAAGCCCATGCTCGCGAGAGATTAGAAAGAACGCTTACGTAACGCGAATATTTATCGGCTAGCCCGTGAAAAAGCGACGCCGATAAGGAGACCAACTATGTATCGATTTTCTAACCTAATCGATTTACTTGGACCGATTTAATTTTCGTTTTATTCGGGTTCGATTTAAGTCTCGAGTAGACGCGAACGAACTTGCGTGATGAAATACGCATATGACAGTATCGACCAACGTAACCCTTCCTCTGGAAAAAGTTGGAGACGTACGCGAGACGCGACTCTAGCGCGAAATTATTTTCCACGGCCGCTACAGGGGTGCCACCTGGACGCCGCGGTGACGTTCGGGAAACGATAGGTGGAGTTGGCGAGCGATAGCGAGAGACGCGATAAGGGTGGGTTAATGGAATTTTGGAAAATTCAAGGGCGACACGTGGACCGGAAACAGTTGCTCACCTCCAACATCCACTCCGCGACGATCTTGCGCATGAGCGGCGAGATGTCCTTCTGCACGCACTCGAAGTAAGAACTGCTGGGCGCGTATCTCTCCTCGGTTTTCAGCAGATTTTGCAGCACACGGTCATCGCCAAGTAGAGCGGGATCAGCGTAGGCTCTGCACTCAGTCTCGGTGGTCTCGCAGCAAAGCAGATCCATGTTCCCGTGGCGTTTCTAACCTCTCGAACGCACACGCACACAAGAGAGAAACGGTGGCGGCGGCACAGCCTCTCCTCCTTCTTTTTCTCCGGTGACTGCTCGCGATCCAAGATATTCCGGTGTGTCAAGCTTCTCCGCCACGCACAGACTCGGGGATCGGCCGTTTTTTTCTCTCCGCCTTCGTTTTTTCCGTCCCTTCTCACCGCCGTCGTCGTCGTCGTCGCCGTCGCCGTCGTCGTCGCGGTGTCACTTTATTCACGTGCCACGTTGCCAAACCGTTTTTCGCCGGCGCGACCAGACAGAGCATGCACGAATCGATCGTAAAGATATGGCAGAAGTTCACACGAATTCGCACGGAAAGACGCTCGCCAGGACACTCAACACTTCACAAAATATAACATACATACACGCGTGCTGTGTGTACGCGTGTATACATACACGTATAGGACCTTGGTTTCGGGCAATGACTCCGAATATCACTCACCTAGAGGCCGTTTACGCGAAAACAATATATACAACACGGGACTCGGGGTTCGACGACGTGAAAAAAAGCCGGCGTACGGGTTTTATTATCCCCTTGCTTCATGCACAACACACTTTCTTTCCCGTCTCTGGTGTTCTCTCGTCTGACGTGATTACTGGACTCGTAAAATGCGCTTCTTTTTTTCGTATTTCGGCTCTCCTGTTTTCTCTGCGTACGTGCGTATATATCCTCGTATCGTCGGAGCTGCCTCTCGATCGAACTCACGGGGGAAAGTACGGGACGAAGAGCTCGAACACACACTAGTATGAATAAAAAAAAAATCGTTCGAAGGGACGTAGGACGTAGGACGTAGGATTGTAATAAATAAGCGTAGTTCGACCTCGTTGCTCGTGTTTCGTCGAGTAGAGTTGTGTCGTAGGTTCACGGTGTTGCGGTAGGTGCACGATACGCGAAGAAACCGTTTCCCTTTTCAAACGAGTCTGCTTACAGTCGATTTAAATGTCCTGCGATGCGAGCCTAGTCTTATTCACTTTCTCACGATCCGACACTGGCGACTTACCAGGTCAGAATGCCGCCGGTCTTCCTGCCGTGGTTCGGTCTTCTCCGGTTCGTTCTTTCCGAAGGGGTGGTAGGTGCGTCCCCACCATCTCGGCGCCAAACGGTCACATGACCACGGATCGATCCCTACCACCAAGGCGCCAGCGTGTCACGTGAAACGTAACTGTCCCCCCACCACCGGCCGCTATGACTGGGGCGCCAGTGCCGGATTCGCATCGTGTAACAGGAACCCAGCGCGACTGCCACCTACAGGGTCGCCACCTTCGGCGTCTCGTGTTATTTCAGGGACGACTACGAGATCCACGGAACCAAGGTGATAGCGTTTTAACCTGCCGTTCGGGCCCACTGTGACCTGCCAAGGTTTTTTCAGTCAGAATCATTCGTCTAGCCCCTTCTGTGTCGTGCGAAATTCATCATTTCCGCTGGAACCTGTGAACAGGTGAAAATATTTCGTCGTGAAATTCGAATTTTTTAATTAATACGTATGATGAACTTTCGAATGGAATGCGAATATTAAAGTATTTTTTCTTTCTTTTAGGGGTGGAGTGGAGTTTATGTTTCCTACGTGAGTTTGTGTAGACAAAATTTTTTAATCTCGCAATATCTGTAAAAAATAATTCCCAGCTTAGAAAGAATATATATAATGTTTTTGAATAATGGAATAACGAGTATAAATTAACCATATTTCTATAGTAATTTTGTTTCCTTGCTTTCTATAATATATTATCGATACCACGTGGACGTTATATAAGAAACGTTTTCCTTTGGTGGAATACCATGACTCACTAGGAAATCAATAAGACGTAACCTGTTGAAATCTCGAAAGCTCGAATGTTTCCATCGCATATGTTTCAATAAATCATTTAATCATTCTATTATCACCTTTGTTATTTTGTCCTTAACGTACTTTACGTCAATAAATCGTTAAAAAAATTATTTTCGAAGAAAATTATTTCTAAAAATATTTTTCTCCCAATCACGATAAAATTTTATGGGGAATATTACTCAGTGATCCCTAATTACGTTTAATCGAACAATTTTCGAAATTCGATATTCACGCCGAATGGTGGCCACGTTTGAACGTCTAATAACATGGCGTAGGGTTCCATGTGATCACAATCCGATATTGACTCGAGAGAGTTCGGACAAGTCCGGACTCATTCGTTTTCATTCGTTCATATACAACGTCGAAATTCTTCGCGTTGCTCTTTGCTATCAAATTTTCCGGTCTTTTCGAGTATCTTACCGTTTCTTATCCATTTTTCGTAGTGCATGGATTAACCAATCGTCTCGAGAACCTTCGTACGGCGACTCGTAAAAGAAATATTACTACGAAGCAACGAAGAGCTCTGTTCCACAGGCAAGAACAATTTTCCTCAGGTGTCTGTTCTACACGTGACGAGAAACGAAAAATTCCATCCTTCTGTCGAGAACAGCCGAAGCAGTGAATTACAAACACACCGTCGTTAAACGTGAAATAAAAGATCGAAAGATATACGATAGGTTAGGAACCATAAACCGTGGGATTGCAAGGGATTACGAAGTACGCAGGTCACCTCAAATTTCCTAAATAGCATGCCATATTTTCTTCCTGGTGGAATAACAGCTTCCATTTTCGAGTAAATCGCAAGCTACGAGTAAGATATAATATCACATAATCGACGTATGCGATCAGGTATGAAAATAAAACCTCAAATTATAACCAATTTTTCCGTAAACACATTTTCGAATAATTAAATAGAAATATTATGTGTAATCGTTTAAAATCACGAAAATTACCTAAAAATTAGAAAAATAATTAGAAAAGAAGAGAAATAAGAGGAAGAGAAAAGAAAGAAATAATTAGAAAAATAGATTAACCCACAAGAGATATTTAGGTTATGTACTATTCATGCATATAAAGTAAATATTTACGTATTATATTTAGGTTAAATATATTAATTACATATATATTAATTATAAGTATTATATTTAGGTTATGAACTATTTACGTACATAACCTAAATATCTCTGCGGATTAATCTATTTTTCTAATTATTTCTCCTTTCCTCTTCTTTTATTGTACACGAATAGTACATAACCTAACTATCTCTTGCGGATTAATCTATTTTTCTATCAGTATATTCATTCTAGAATAATTTAATAAAAATTCCTGTCTTACGTCGTAGAAATTAATAGCGTTTGAATTTATATTCGCTTGAAAATCGTACGTTCTACCATTTATTTCATACAATAAATTCGATTACTCGCAGTGCTTATTCCTTCTCCGAATTTCCAGAAAAATAAGCGTGAAAGTTAAAATTTTAACAATCTCCCGTATCTCGGCTCTTTCCGATCCGACACGTCATTAGAAGCCAGATAAAAATTCGTTCACCGATCTCATGGTGCAGGGGCACCGCTCGCGAATCGCTTGTACTATCGTTCCTACGGAACATAGAATCGCATTATCGCCAACGGCTCGGGAACGTGCATGCAGGCTCACTCCTCTCCTCTCTCGTGTCCGGCGATCGGACGAGCCTGGCCGCTGCTGCTTCTTCGCTTCTCGTCGGGGCCGAGAAATTTCTGAAGCGTGTATAGGGAAAGTAAGGGCCACTTCCGCCGGATAATTTGAACGGGAGAAAGAAACGGTCCGTGTAGGAGTGGGAATGTCCTTCGTGCACGAAACTCGCGGCTTCTCGGCTCGTTTGCGCGTACTACGCGCTTACTACGGCGTCGTACGCGCGTGCAACTTTACGCGACCGGATGTTGCAGCGCGTACCAGACGACGTCGTAACGACTGAACAATAAGTGCTACGCTGGAGTACTACGGCCGAGTAAATCGGAACGATCACGACCATCTTGCATTAGAGGCCCGGTGAAAACCGGATGACCGGATATCTGGCGAGTCGGCAAGTCTCGTACTCCATTGGAGGGACAGTTAGGCGAGTAGCATAGACGAGAGTATTTGAAAGTATACACGTTTAATTGCAGGTATAGCCGATGTCTATTTCGTTTCTTTCATTTATTCACGATGGATGGAATGGGCTGCCGTGATGAAAATCTACTGGGTGTATCGGAAGTAGGTAACTGTAGGTTTATAAATAATCCTACAATTCTTTCCAATTTTTCTATAATATTCTAATTATTGACACTTACGTACCCAGTTAGGTTCAGGGATTTTTAGTGACTATTTAGTGACTATTTATTAATCATTACAATCACTTATTCGATCCTTTTCCCTTTCATTAGGATAATATCCAACTATAATTTTTTCCAATAAGCGAGGAAAAATTTAATTCAGGATTCTACCTAATATTCCAAATTTTACAAAATTTGTATCACCATTAAAAACAAACGAGGAAGGAAAAACGAAGAATAAATTCCGAATAAATATCGAATTGCAAGGAAAAATAGCAAAGGAGTAATTAATTCCAAAAATATAAGACTCTGGTTTAACATATGAAGTTACATAAGCATCGAGAGAGGGGGAAACGGATAAACCGATGTTGTTTAGTACACGAGACAACACTGCAATTATTTAAATGGGAACAATAATACGTATGACGCTAATTGTAATGATGGAGGTAGTTATGGTAATACTAGAAGCAGTATAAGCAATCATAGCAAATGCATTATTGTTATAGTCATGGCCATGGTCATGGTCACGGTGACAGTGTCGTGACAGGCAGTAGTGACAGTGACAGAGTCACGATCGTATTACGTTTGCTTTTGGCTGGCTTGGGATAAACCTACAATCGAATCGCTGGTATAAGTCACGACCAAGTTGCTGTCTTTGCTTGTTATTGGTAGTATTCAACAATCATTGTCAGGGCTATACTTGTTACTGTCGCAGGCTCAGCATTGCGTTACGGATTTAGTTCAACAATGGCCAACCGACGATAATAGTAACAGCGATAGTGATTCATAGTAGTAATATTAATAACGATAGTTTTAAGTGATAGTAATAACAGCGTGATATCGTTACGCGATATTAGTAATAGTGATAACGATAACGATAAGGGTAGTAGCAATAATGGGGGACGCAAAATTGAATGGAGATTAAATGATAAACTAAGAATATTTAGACATAGGAAATAGTGACAAGAATGGTAATAATAATGGAAACAGGGTATTCGATGATAAAACTGAAGCTAGTGATAAACTAAGAAAATTGGAACTAGATAGTATATTACTATTATTACTAACTATATAGTATATTACTTTAGTAACTAAGTACTAATAACAATAGTGGGACTAAAGATAGTAAAATTTGTACAAAGTATACAGATGAAGCATATTTTAGAAACAGTAGCAGCAATAATAGGGGATGCATAAATTAATGGAGATTAAATGATAAACTAAGAATATTTAAACTTAGGAAATAGTGACAAGAATGGTAATAATAATGGCAACAGGGAATTTGATGATAAAACTGAAGCTAGTGATAAACTAAGAAAATTGGAACTAGATAGTAACTAAGTACTAGTAACAATAGTGAGACTAAAGATAGTAAAAATTGTACAATAGAAAGAACAGAGATGAAAAATATTTTAGAAACATTGATAACGCCGGTAATTACGATACTAATTGCGATAATAAGTACAAGAATAAAAATGAAACGCGCGATAAATAAATCCAGGATTTTGATATAAAATGTTAATGTCCTTGGTCGGTTTATGTTGTTTCAAATTTCTTGTCGTGCCATTTATGTTAAACACACGACTGCTTGCATTAACGAACTAAAAGCGTTAACCATTATTTCTTCACTTTTGGTCCTAGATCCTATCAGTGGAATTTGAAATTCAAATTGGATACATGGTTGCATTCATTAACTTTTCGCCGTGTTCGTCGTTATTGTTCGCCTATTAATTAGTGTTTAGTGTTATTTCTAGCGTGCACGTATTAATCCTGGTTTCACGAAGCTCGAGGAACATCCTGTGCACTTTGAAGAATGGAATTTTAACAATGAATGGAGTATTGTCATTATCGTTCTTCTACTGATACAACCACGCGTCC